GATAGGCCGGAACTTTCAACTCCACAGTTCATACGTCCCAAGAGTCATAACTTTTCTTCGAATTGCACAAAGTTTCTTTCTAAGTGAATTCAAACGGTGATAAAGGAAAAGGATTATGTAACTTCTCCTAAAGAATGCGATTGATATTCGAATGTTAGAAAATCCTTTGTCGATCCCTGCAAATCCACTAAGTGATGACTTTTGAAAGTTGGCATCAAAAAGAATGGGCGCTCAAGGAAGCAAAAGACTCCGGGATTCAAAACAGATTTTCTCCTTGAAGCAAGGGTCGGGTAGGTTTTCAGTGCTGAAGCGTCCATGCCATATTGATGGTGTTGTTTTTGAAAACTGATGAAGGCTAACTTGTTATCAATACTAGTGGCGTAAAATCTCATAAGAATTGACAATAAGGTATATATATATATATATATATATATATATATATATATATATATATATTATGAAAAACTAGGTAATCCGTATGGGTAAACCTAAGGATGATAAAATCCAGAGAGCTCAATGTAAATTCAGAGCAAATAATTTAAATAAAAACAGACCACTTTAAGGTTCCATGTAATAAATTATTTCACCACAGCCCTTTTAAAAGGACTGCGGATCATCAGACTTTACTTCCAAACAAAAAATGAAAAGAAAATTTACACATTTTTGACGGGCCGTATTAAACATATGTAAATTAACGAAGTGAGGAAGTCAGGGGAGAGAGAGAAGCCATGAGTGAGTTAGCAGATATTGACACATTTAAACGGTTAACTTAACGGAAGTTATATATAGATATAAAATGTGGTAAAATAATTTATTACATGGAACCTTGGTAATGTGGTAAAATAATTTATTACATGGAACTATAAAGTGGTCTGTTTTTATTTAAAACACACACACACACACACACACATATATATATATATATATATGGAAAAGGTTATAGTTGTTCCATCGAGAGAAAAATGTATGTATAAAAAAGGAGAGAAATCGCATACGCTTTGGGTTATAAAGTAGATTTGTTTTAGTATATATATTATCTTTTATTCTTCATATTTCTTCTACACGGGTTTCCAGTGTTGTGACCTTCTTCAGGCAAATCAAAAGAAATAAATTTTCCTAATGTTCTTTTTAATGTCTCATTGTTCGTTTTCTGCATCGTGGTTTCTCTCTTTTTTATATATATATATATATATATATATATATATATATATATATATATATATATATATATATCTTTGTATGTGTGTGTGTATTTGGGCACCAATCTTTCATTTATGAAAGTTCCATTAAAGAGGATTAGCAATTATACTATAAATACGCATATATATATATATATATATATATATTAGAATATATATATATATATATATATATATATATTCCGTTATTAAAAAAAGGACATTGATAATGGTCAATAGAATAGCAGAAAGTGTTCTCATATATAAAATATTTTACAGTTTCTTACACATTTTACATCCAGAAAAGAAAACACTAGTACAAACGCTAGAAAAATTGAATAAAAGCTTGTTATCTCTAGTCATTAATGAAACATATATATATATATATATATATATATATATATATATATATATATATATATATATATATATATATATATATATATATATAATATATATATAACATATATATATATATATGTGTGTGTGTGTGTGTGTGTGAGTGTGTGTGTCTGCGTCTGTGTGTTTCTGTGCCTGTGTATGTATGTGTGTGTGCGCGTGCCCTGGTGTGGTGGTGCAGTTACATGTGTGCGTGTGTTAATCAGTGAAAAGAACGAGAAAGAAAGAAGACATAAAAGACTAAATAAAGAAGAAAGAGAGTGAATGCAGGAAGAGGGAAGTTGGAGAAGATAGAGCGGATACAAAGAGATAAGAGAAGCTAACAATAGGCAAGAGAGACAGAGAGAGAATAGAGACAAATAATACTAGAGAGAGAGAGAGAGAGAGTGAGAAAGAGAGAGAGAGAGAGAGAGTGGAAAAGATGTGAGTTAAAGAAAGAATGAATGAAAGAAAAGAAAGAAAGAACTAAAGAAAGATGAGGGAGAAAGAAAAGAGAAAAACTGAGAAGGACAGTAAATTGAGAGAGAAAGGAGATAAAAATTCTAAAGAGAAAGAAAAAAAAGAAAGAAAGAAAAAAAGAAAGAAAGAAAAAGAGAAAGAAAGAAAAAGAGAAAGAAAGAAAACGAGACAAGAAATGGAGAAGCGAGACCGAGACGGGATTTGAGAGAAAGGGAAATGAAAAATACGAGATAAGATGAGGTCAAGTATTCGAAGAGGAGAGACAGAAAGAGACGATGATAGACGAATATATATATATATATATATATATATATATATATATATATATATATATATATATATATATATATATATCTGTCTGTCTGTGTGTGCGTGTTTGTGTGTACGAAGAAGTGGAAGTGTTGACAAGTGTTCCCAATATCTGATAACAGGACAGGCATTACAATTGTTGATAAGTGGGTTTGAGTTGACAAAAGAGGTTTTCAGTTCTTCAGTTCATATATATATATATATATATATATATATATATATACTGTTTTCACAATATAAGGCCCAAGAGTCAATCAAGGTAGAGGCCTTGGTATGAGCGTGCGAAAAGGCAAGAACTGATGCAATATCGGGCTACATAGGAAAGATAACGGTTAACCCTAGAGTTGTAGTGATTGGATAAACAACCTACCTGGAATGTTCCACAAAGCAATAGTTCTTGGGAAGAACCCTCCCGAATGGAACTTAATTCTTATTCGAGAAATACGAAGGTAATGGGGATGATAAACCATTATGTACGACGTACGGAAGGTCCAAGTTGTAAATGTCAGGGGTGGTGAATCTAAGGATATATATATATATATATATATATATATATATATATATATATATATATATATATAGGGAGAGAGAGAGGAATGGATTTTTTATTTATTAATCTGACATATTTTAATTTATTGCTTAATCGTTATTTAAATGGATACCCGGATTTGAGTAGATGGTCTGTTTGTATTTGCATATTAAACAGTTTACAGTAATACCTCAGCTTAAGTCGTTTCGAGTTCACTCATTTTCGAAGATACGTCGATTTTCTTAAATATTATATGAAAAAGTAAGACTCGTCTTAGATCGTTTTACTCGAGTTTACGTCGGCCGTTAAAAATATTAGAAACATCAAAACACTAAAATAACAATAAACACATATAAAATCATATTCAAATAAATCAAAAAATATTATATAATAATAATAATAATAATAAATAGCATAATAAAGCATGTTCAGCAGATGTTCTTATTTCAGATTTCAGCCGCTGTTTTCCGTTCATCCACCGATCTTGAATTCAGACTTTTTTATATCTTTATCGTTGACGTTCTTTCAATTACATTTCAATTCTGACTTAGAATAGATGGCTCCGAAGAAAAGTGCTAAGCGTATGCCTATATAGCTGGAAGATATTGTGAAAATCAATTATTTTATTCAGAATACTGTACATATCATAAATGCTGTAATTGGCAATAGGGAGCGCTTATTTGCGGTTTATAGTGTGGATATTTCGTTTTTCGACCTAAGCCGTAACCTTTGGAACCAATTAACGACGTAGATTGTGGTATTCCTGTATTTATTTATTTTCGTCTGCCGGCTTAAATATTCCGATAAATCTTATTAGAAATAGGTGTTCTCACCGGCGAGACTACCACTAGATCTGACGTTCTTTAACCTCTCGGTTACGAAGAATCACCCAGTTAAGCAAAGCCCGAATAGTGCTTTTGAAAACAGAGCTTATTTGATTCTTGAAATATACATCACTTCAGAGTCACTAACATGTGCGCTAACCGGGGAAAACGGCCCTAGATCTGACGTTCATTGGCCTCTCGGCTACGAAGAATCTCCTGGCTAAGCAAAGCCCGTATAGTGCTTTTGAACACAAACCTTTCTCGATTCTCGAAGTATACATCACTTCACAGTTTCTCATCCTAACGTTTAAGCAATAAATTAATATATATATATATATATATATATATATATATATATATATATATATATATATAGATAGATAGATAGATAGATAGATAGATACACCAAAATATAAAACAGGCCATAAATTTTGCAAATTATGTGCTGAGGAGAAATTAGCCATAGCTTTATATGATCAACCTAACCAGCTATTAAACTCTAAAACTGAAATTCTTAATGTATGTAGACATAAAAAATCTTGGCTGCTAAATTAGACGTTTTCCCGTTATTGACTTTCCACTGAGGATTTTTTTTTTTTTTTTGTTGAATAAATATTTATCCCCGCCACTTAGGTTTTTTTTTTTGTTTTTTTTTTTTTGTCACGTGGTATGATTTTAGCTATCACCTATAAATATGTGTTTCTCTTTGCCTCGTTAGCCAAACTTTCCCTGACGATCCGTTTAGGTGAAACCTAGGTAGGTTTGTCTGGCTCACTAGGTTTATCTAGGTCTGCTCTACGGTTGTATTGAGCTCTTTTGTTAGTTAGTTGTTTACTCGTATCGGGTTTTTTTCTTTGGGCTTCAGACCTGCATCTGTGCGTTTTTTTGTCGGCAGAAGTTCATGTTTGTAGCTCTTTCTTTTTTTAAAACCTTTTTTTTCCCTCGAGATTGATTTGATTAGCAAATCAAAAATTTGAGGGTTTTTCGAAACGAGTCTAGTTATCTATATTTATATGTATATATATATATATATATATATATATATATATATATATATATATATATATATATATATTAGGTGTAAAAGGTAGGAAATGTGTGTGTGTTTGTATGTAATAGTAAAAAGAACACCTCAGAATTAGTTCTAAATCGCTTTGGATGATAGAAATAGTTTCAGCATAGGAATCCTTGTATGTTCCAAACCTAATCAGTGCGCAAGAGCGTCATGTAAAGATAATAACAAGAAATAAATACTTTTCATCTGCAGTTAACGTACATTGACCGTGATTTTCCTCAAGTGGGATGTTCAAGACGGTACTTGAGCTTTCAATATTTAGTCGTAGGTGGCAGAATCGTATTACAAACAGATATATAAGATTTCATAGCCCTTATATATGTAAATATGTGCATGTACTTCACACACACACACACAGAGACATACATACACACACGCGGTCGCGTGCGCACACACACACACACACACACACACATATATATATATATATATATATATATATATATATATATATATATATATATATATCCGGAGAGGTAGAGAGAATATATTGCACACACAATTGATTGTACCTGGAAGCATAATAAATATGCATAGCAAAACAAAAAAATTGATTTAATAAAAATAAATCCCATTTAATGGGTGAAAAAGTATTCATACAATACAAAAAGGAATACATAATCTTCATTTAATAATTTGTAGAATAGCCATTATTCACTTCTACAGCAACCAACCTCTTCTTGTAGTTCTCAATTAATGATTTGTAAATTTTAGTTGGTATTTTGTTCCATTCTTCTTCGCATATGGTCTTCAGATCCGGAATGTTTACTGGAGCTCTCTATTGGATTTGAATTTTCAAATAACGCCACAGATTCACGATTGGGTTTAAATCTGTGAACTGGCTTGGTCATTTCAGGATATTTACAAGATATTTACATTATTTTTAGCAAGTTATTTCTTCATAGATTTTGCAGTGTGCTTAGGATCATTATCTTCAACCGAAATCATTAAATTTGCTTCCAAAATTCTTTGATATGCTGCAGTATTCATTCTGCCATCTAATATTAATATGTTACCAGTACCTTTTGCAGAAAACATCCCTAAACCATGACACTGCCACTACCAAACTTCACTGTTGGAACTATGTTCTTTTGTTTGAAGGCACCGCCATCTTTCCTCCATATATGATTTCTAGAATTACGTTCAAAAAACTCAATTTTGGTTTCGTCTGTCCATAATACTCTTTCCCAATACGATTTTTCCTTATCCTTAGGTTCAAAAACGAATTTCAACCTGTCATCTCTGTGTCTTTTCAATAGCAGTGGAGTTTTCCGAGGGGGTGTGTGACTTTAGATTGTCAGTAAGAATTTCATTGTTTATTGTGTGTTTAATGACACATATTCCTGATGAAAGCAAATTATCCTCCAACTCTTAACGAGTAGCCATCGCATTTTGTTTAATTTGACGTATTAATTTCCCCGAAGATCTTGAACAAATCTTCCGTGGGGCACCTGTTCTTCTTTGGATTTCAACAGTTTTGAGGTTTTTTTTATAGCTGGCAATGAATGTGTTAATGGTAGTAAATGGGATATCCAGGTAGTCTAAGAATTTCCTGTAACTTTTACCTTCCTTCCAGAGCTCAACAACCAGTTCTTTTTACGAATTTATCAATTCTTTACCTCTTGCCACGATGATAACCTTGAAGGAATATCAATTACAGAATGTTCTGTTTGTATTTTTTAGGCTAAAAATAACCACTGATAACAATATTGGAACACTCTAGAATATGCACTTGAATAATCTAGAGTATTAAAGCAATTTAAAAGTTTTAAAATCTGAAATTTGTATTGTACGAATAATTTTTCATCCATTAAAATGGATAAATGGGTACTATTTCCATTAAATCAAAATATTTTCTGTTTTCTATGCGTATTTAGTTATTAGGCATCTGTGTACAGTTAACTATATTAAATGTATACCGATTCATTAGTTGGAAATACAATAAATTAAAAATTTGTATGTGTGCGAATATCTGTTTCGTCTACTCTCTCTCTCTCTTTCTCTCTCTCTCTCTCTCTCTCTCTCTCTATATATATATATATATATATATATATATATATATATATATATAGTATAAAGTTTGTCACTTAACTGATTTGTGTTATCTTCAGCATCCCGGCCCCACAGTTTCATAAACAGACCTTCCAGCAATCATTCCATCTATTCGTCAGGGGGTATCACCAATTAATTGATTATATTTCTCGTTTTGTTTTTATGTTAAAGTGTACACTGAGATCAACGGTGAGTGGCAGCAGTCTTTTTCATGCTTGAACAAGATCTTCAGACTATATGTGTTTTCAGGCCGGCATTATCACGACGTTATATTCCCGACAACACACATGGCCTTAAGATAGCCTTCAAGCATGAAACAGACTGTCGCCGCTTGGTGTTCATTTTTTTTTATTTGCATACGCTTTCTCTGATACAGAGCACTTTTACACATAAATATAGCATTTTTTTTTAAAAATCATTTCTCTCCACGCAAAGTGATAACGCCACCAAAACGCAAAAGAGACCATTAGAATTGAAGGAAAAGACTTCAGAAGGAACCGGAAACCCAATATTAAACAGGAAACAAGAGATAAACCTCTAATCCTGTTCAAAAAAACAAGAGAGAATTGTCTGAACCGGGCGATAGTTGAACCTATCTACAACAATCTATATAATACTAAAAGTCTGTGATTGCGTGAGTGCATGCTTTTGTAGTGTGTCCGACAGGAGAATAATGATTTACGAGTTGCTTATAAGTATTTCTATTGATTTTCTTCAAACAGACAATTTTCTAATTAAAATATTTCTAAGTTAAAGACAGACACAAAGAGATCCCGCTTTGTTGTCCACTTTTTGAGGGGAGTATTTATATTTCAGCTTTCTTTAAAGTAACAATATTTTAAATATTTAAAAAAAAAATAGTTTTTGGCATATTTGAAAAATATTTTTAAGTGAATATGATTTTAAAATATTTTTTGGCATATTAAAAAAATATTTTTTTAATTAATATGATTTAAAGTTCAAGTTTATCCCGGAAGTTCTATTTCTTTTAAATGCTGGAAACACTCAGTAAAACGTTAAACATGAACTTGTAAACCAGACCAAGGGTGACCCGAATGAATTGAAATATTTAACTGAATAAAAATAAATTAAATTGAAGGAAATTGCGTTTCTTAAGTCCGGTAGCTGTTATCGTACTTGCCAAAATTGGATGGGGATTCCTTCTTAACCTTTTATCTGAAGTAGTTTGGAATGTCAACTTTTTGTTTACGCCATAAATATCTCTTCATGTTAGATTTAATATCCATTTTAATTGTTACTGTTGTTGAAAGTCCTCAGGTTATGTGGTTTTTGTTATTTGATACAGGTATTTGTCTGTGATTCTGTAGCGTCAGTCCTCGAGGTTCGAAGAGTGATGTTCCTAGCTAAGACTCTCAGGCTTCAATCACTGAAAGCAATTTAATGATTGAGCTGAGAAACCTGTTGCATACAGCTGACAGATATTTCAGGACAAGTTTAGCGCCATACATGACATCCATATGGAAGTAAGAACATAACTTGAGTTTTTAAAGTTAATGTTTTGGTTTTGTAGCAATTGGCGGTGTTGTGGGAAACAATTCCTAGCAAAGCCTATTCTATGTTTATTTCCTTTTCTCCTATGCTCAATTCGTTTGGGATGTGGCATGGAAGGCTTAAATGATCAATGCCTATCTTTACAGGACATAGACTAGAAAAAAGATTAAATTGATTGAAGTTCTCGTTTCCTTCTTGTACTCCTGATGAGGTTTGAAATGCTTTGGTATTGGGGTCCTTGCTAAATATGTACGATTTTGTCAACCGATATAGTTCCTCTGTTAAATTTAGACATCTAGCAGTGTCAGAGCTTGGATGGAGGTTTCTAATGGATGGGATGATGAAACATCTATTGATGCTGTCATATGACTCTGTGATATAACATCATTACACGGCTTACCAGGACGATAACCAAATTGGGCTGTGAGGAGTTGACTTTCAAAAAAAAAATCAGGGGATGCGGAGAGACGAAAAGGCAGTGCAACACAGAGAGGGTTTAAAAGGGTGGGGTTATCTTAGATAAACGTAGTTGTTTGTAGTGAATGGCTAAATTATGTTTCGTGACCTAACACGAATAAATTAACTCTTCAACTGCGAGTGACCTTTTAAAATCTTCGCGAATTTGTTACAGACTAAGGGAACCCAGACAGTGTCAAGTGTCCAAGCGAGAAACAGAAACGGGGAGAGAGACAAAGAGTCAAACAGAAAAAGAGATCGAGCCATAGGGAGATTAAAAGGGGAGTGTGACATCAAAAGGGATTAGAGAGATTCATCGTAGATAAAGGTAGTTGTTCGGAATGAGGGGGTTAAATCCTATTCCGTGAACTGATGATGTGCTGAGAACATTTCAGCATTTTTAGGAGAGTCTGTCAGTCAGTTATGGCATGCGCGATACAAGCTTAGTCGATCATGTATCTTTCGATACATGACTGACGAGGCAGATTTTTTTCCCGTAGTAGGTGGCCATTTCTTTTCTGAAGTAGACCAGTTGCCACCCAAGGCAATAGAACTCGGTCTGTCCTGCTATTTACCCATAGCTAGGTAAGAAAAGGAGTCATACCTTTCCCAAGAGTATTAGCTCGTAAGTGAATGTAATGGATTTGGCTGGAATTCGAACTCGGCTCTCCAATTCCTCAATCTGAGCAGCTATCTATTACTCCACCATGTCTTCTACTATGTCACTTTTTTATGACTATTTAGAAATAGTAATGAGCTGAAAAGTCCAGTGTGACATTAAAAAACAAAATTATTAGTAGATCCGTGTAATTCATACGGGTCCTGTTCACGACGTGACAGCACCACGGATTTAGCAGACTACTCTATAAATATCGGCAATCGTTTGTCGTACCGTCTCTTTTGTTTCTGAAATTGTTTTTGACTTCTTTTAATTTAGCCAAGTTTCGTTCACAAGGCGAGGCTTTCAGACTATGAGAGTGTGACCCAGTCAGTCGCAAGTTACAAGCAAAAAAACAATAACACTTATAAAAATGAAAATTAAAAAAAAAAATCTTCTCAACGAAATGTTTCAATTGGACGAACTTGAAAAGTGAGAACATCGCCCAGCATTTGTTTTAAGTATTTCCTCCCCCTCTCTCTTTTTCACTTTCACTTTCTCTCCCCCCTCTCTCTCTCTCTCTCTCTCATTCTCATTTCCTCTTCCTGTCTCTTTCTTTAATTTTGCTGAATAGATTGGTTTTTATTTTCTCTCTTAATCACCCACCTCCTTTCTTTCTTTCTTTCTTTCTTTCTTTCTTTCTTTCTTTCTTTCTTTCTTTCTGTCTTTCTGTCTTTTTTCTTTATCTATTTATTTATTCCTTTTACTATTTATTTATTTATTCATTTATTCATTTATGTATTCGTTCCTATCGTACTTTCTTTTTCTTTCTTTCTTTCTTTCTTTCTTTCTTTCTTTCTTTCTTTATTTATTTTTTTATTTGTTCATCATTCACTGATTCCTTCCTCCTTTCGCTTTTGTTGATTTTTTTTTATTCCATTCATTCATTCATTCATTCATTCATTCAGTCATTGCGTTCTTTCTTTCTTTCTTTCTTTCTTTCTTTCTTTCTTTCTTTCTTTACTCACAGAGCTTTGTCTTTTACTTTATTTCGCACTTCCATTTTTCTTCTTTTTCTTTCTTTCTTTATTTCTTTCGTTATCCATTATTTATAACTTTTTGACATTGTTCGTATTTATTTAATATTTATATATTCTTATCCTAACATTTTTATGTATCCATTAACTATCCCTGTTTCTATCTATCTATCTATCTATCTATCTATCTATCTATCTATCTATCTATCTATCTATTTTCTTCCTATTTTCTTCCTATTTTTCTTATTTCCCCCCTTTCTTCATACCCGTCTCCTCCTTTTTTCTCTCAGCCTGTCTCTTTTTTATTCATTTTTTTTTTATTTAACTCTTTCGTTTTCCCTTTCTTGCTTACGTTTTCCAATTTGTTTGTTTGTTTGTTTGTTTGTTTCTTTCTTTCTTTCTTTCTTTCTTTCTTTCTTTCTTTCTTTCTTTCCACTCCTTTCTCACTGCCCTCCCTGACGCTTGCCCCAGGACGTCACTGAGAAATTAGGATTGGAGGAATGTAGGTCACAAATGACGTCATTTGCTGCTTTATTGATGCCATGTTATCAAACTTGATCGAATGACGTAATCCTGAAATAGACACTGTATATATATATATATATATATATATATATATATATATATATATCTTCATTGTTCATTTTGACGAGGGTTACCCTCCATTCCGCCCACCTTTCTCCTTTCATACTTTTATGTAATATATCCCAAGGTTGCTTTACTTTTTCTCATTTTATTTTTATCTTTCTTATTGTTGACACTCTGGAAGTTACGTCTTTTATTATTTTTATTAACGTATTGCTGAGAAACACACAGACTGATTTTGTTTTATTTTATTTTAGGCAGACACTCGAATAAAAGTATTACCGGAAATGCGTTTCATCCTGTCGTATTTTGTCGAGTTATTTTAGTTTATTTCTTATGTAGTCTATGTAACAGAGAATATACGCAAGGTCAGTAGTCGACAGTGAAATGCAGAGTTTTAAATAAACAAACCTAAACTTCACGACTTTTGGGTTATACGAGCTTTGCCGGATATTGGGTTACAGGCTGATTACATGGCTTTTTGGTTATAAGGTCTTTGCACGGATTTGGGGTTATAGGGTTTGCCGGTCTTTTTGGCCTTTACACGGAGTTTGGGTTATAGGGTTTTTGCAGGGTTTTTTGGTTATAGTGTCTTTGCACGGATTTTGGTTTATAGGGATTTAAAGGACTTGTGGGTTATAAAGTCTTTGCACGGATTTTATGTTATAAGGTCTTTGTAAGCTTTCAGCCATCTTTAGTGGGACTATATGTACTTTTTATTTTACTCTTATTCTCTTCTCTCTCTTTTTCTCATTTTCCATCTTTCTCTTTCCTTCTTTCTTTTTCCTCTTCCATTTTCTCTCTCTCTCTCTTTGCTTCCATTATTCCCTCTTTTTTCTCTTTCTTTCTTTCTTTCTTTCTTTTTCTCGTTTCCGTTTCGCTCGCTCACTCCTCTCTCTCTCTTTCTCTTAGTCACTTTCTCTCTTTTTCTTTCCTTCTAGTTCTATCTCTGTATTGTTATTTATTTTTTACCTTTTTCCCGCGCATTCGTTATTTTTCGTTTTCTTTTCTCTCTCCCCCCCTCTCTCTCTCTCTTTCGCTCTCTCTCTCTCTCTCTAGGCCAATTTATCTTTCGACTTCTTTTTTCTCTCTTTTCTCCTTCTCATTTTCATTCTTTTGTTTTGTTTCTCTTTTATTTCTCTTTGTTTTTGTTCATTTTTCTATCTGTTTCTCCTTCCTTCTCGCTTCTTTTCCTTCTCACTCGTTTGGAGCGCTACTCGAGTTAGCCCCCGAAGACACCTTGATTACAGTCACTGATCGTTAGTGGAGGTTGGAGAAGTGGCGACGAATCACTCTGTAAAACCGTACATTAAAACCCCAGAAGAAAGATTTTGCCAAAGTTCAATAATTAATGTAAAGGTTATTGACAAAATAAAGCTCTTATATGGAGAAACCTTCCTAATATTTTTTTTATTTACGTTATTCGGAATGTTATCCTCATTTTCATTGCCATATTCACAACGTTGGGGCCGTTGTATGCTCCGGCCTTCTTCAGGTGATTGGAATTTCGAACCGAACACTATTTTGTAGATTGCCACTTTCGGTTATTTCTCTTTAACTCAACACTCCAAGTTTTGTTCCTTTTTTTGTCTTTTTTTTACCAGTGCGCATATTGCAATTTTTCCGTTATTATTATTTCATTTTTTTTTTTTTACCAGAGCTCATGTTGCAATTTTTGTGTTCTTAATCATTGATTTTCTCTACCACGCCTTATTATTGGTTCCCATATTGTATTCATTTCTATGCTTAGTCGACTCAGGAGATTTTTGCGGCCTAGAATATGTGCTAGTTCCAGAGAATCATTAACCAAGCAGCCATTAGAAGAAGAAGAAGAAGAAGAAGAAGAAGAAGAAGAAAAGCAAGGGTATTATGAAAGTATCGGTGGAGGGGGAGTTAATTGAAAAATATATTTTTTTTATCCAGCCTCACATGTGCTTGATCTCCTTTTGAAGATCTTTAAAAACTCGGTATTGACTATTGAAAAAGAAGAGTATTCCATTAATTGACGACCTACTATGAAAAGAATGCGAATCATCGTATGTGCAAATTTCAAAGAGCCAGAAGAATTTTACTTTCTCTGTAATATGGCCCATCGGAGATTCGGTAATTTCTTTTATTACTGTTTTTTTTTTTTGCTGGTTAGTAATTCCTACGCAGACATCAATGTACGGTATATCGAGTAGATAATTTGAGCACCTCTTTTACTATATTCAAATCACTCGATCAGGAGGTGAAGATTTTTCCCTCTGTTCGATCTATAATTAGTTTTATCTATTTTTGCAATTATGTAATATTATTCGAATGTTTTATTGTACTAAGTATTTGATTTGCTAAAAGTTTCGTTCGACAAAATTCGAAACGGATTCTTACAATTAGCACTGATTTTGATGAAATATTACTCCGTTGATATTAACTGACACCAGGTGATTTCCCTTGATTGCTCTAATCAGTTATTCTTCATCTTGTTAACTGATGTCAAGAATATGTCGACTGTATCCACTTATAAATGTTAAAACTCCACGAAAGAAGACTATCTGTTTACTGTATCTATGTCTGTCTTTTTTTTTTTTTACTCTTGTACAAACTAAACCTATATCTACCTGTGTTACAGAAATAAGCTGTACATTTAACTGTTTCGACAGTAAAAGTGTGGGACCGAGATGCCAACCTAGTACCTCACTTAAATTCATACAGCCGGGGCACCAATGAAAATAGCTCGTCAGAGCAGTTGCCATGAAAATATTTATAGAAAAGACAAAGAGAAGTCACATTACGTCCGTGAGAAAGTCACTGGAGCCGAGATGCCAAGTCAAGGCTGATCACATTGCATATCCGTCTTTGGATTTTGTCGAGGACCTCAAGATGAACTGCGGGGTCATCAGATTATATATGGCAACAGTATTCAATGCATGGACGAATGGTAGATATTTTATGATTAGTTGATGATGTAAATCTTTTATTATTCATAATACGAACTCAAGTAAAAATAAATCCTCTATTCTTCGCATAAATTTTCTTACAGTATATTGTTATAAGTGTTCTATTTTATTATTAGTTATTCTTGTTAATCGCTTACTGAGCCTAATTTATACATTTAATTTTAACACTGGTATCGCCACTGCTGAAATATATTACTTATCGCATAGCATTGCTCACATCCACTATATGGTCTCCGTAAACGTCCATTAAGTGTTGATGAATATCAATGTGTGTAATTTTTTTCCCAATTTCTGCTTGGTAGGTACTTTCATATCAGACAGTATTTTGTCAGATTGCTATCTTCAACATACCAAGTAAACATTATGGTAATTGTTAGGATGGTTCACGCTCTACTCTTATGACATCAAAATACATCACTCGGAATAGAATAATAAAGTAGAAAGCATCACTTTAGAAGTCATCCCCTTATATTTCGATTTCTTGATCAGAAATGTATTTTTTTTCTAAATGATCTTTTTTTTTTATTAATTGTTTGTGACTTTTCAGAACTCTAGCTCCATGTTGATTTTATATCCACCAGATGGTGATAGCTTTTTGTTTGCATTTACAACGAAATTTGGTACAGTTACGTACTTTTGAATTAAATCAAACATTTTAATCTTATTTTAATAAGTGTCGGCGAAGAGCAATTCATTTTATTCATTAATTTGTCCTTCGCATTCAGTTTTACTTTTTAAAAAAGTACAAAAAACATTACGAGACCATTGTGAAAGCTTTTTATTAATGTTCACACAACAGTGACGACCTTGCTTTATTCTTTTCGTTAACGACATTCACTTGCGAATGGAATGCTGAAAAGTTCTCTGTCTGATCCATTGGTCGAAATCTGACCATATGACTAAACAAAATTAAAAATAATAATAATAAATTTTTTTTTTGGTCGGACAATAATTTCGGCAACCCTTGTCTAATGTCTATTACGTCATTACAAGCTTACGTCAATTTTACGTCTGATTGTGGTTTTTCATTCTTTTTCAAACGTTTCAAGTGAAACATTTCTTTTTGTTTTCATACAATCGCGAGCTGTCGTCTATGTGAATGTGCGTTTAAGTGAATAGAGCAGAAAGTTAACGTCCGGGTCTTCAAAGACGTCTATTTGTGGGGATAGTAATCAAAACTTAGTGTGAAAAGGTAAACAAAACAAAGTTTAAAATTCTAATGTTAACGAAAAGGTCTTCTTTGGATATATGATGAAGAAAATAAGGTTTCGTTGCGTCAATTTTTAATTGATAAATGTAACAATTTTATGAGACGCGGTCAAATTAAAACAAAATTAAACTAGAAAATTTAAGCTTGAATTTCTAACATGAGGCTTTATCATTACATACATTATCTATATTGGGACCTTTTGTATATTTGCATACAAGTTTCCTTTTTTTCAATTGATAATGAAGGAAGCAAAATTAATAAAAAAGGAAAAAAAGCCAACATTCAATATTATCAACTATGAATACGGGCATAATGTGGTGACCGTGTTTGGAAAATATAACATT